TTCTTCTTCATATCCTTCAGTGAGGATCGAAATCTCTTCGCTTTTATGTGGAATAAATAGCAGGACATATCACTGTCTTGCCCTGGGGTTATGTTAATTCTCCTGCTCTGTCACAGCATAGTATTTAGTGACTTTGATTGTCTTGATATTCCATTGAACATCATGATGGTCTATGGAATTGATGTATTGATGTATTAACAACATAATGCTAATATGTCATAACCTAGTGAGCAGATGTCCTAGAAGATGGGAGATAAAAAGTATGATTGAGGGCTTTCAATACTGATGAAGTTGTTTTTTTACCTTTTTTGTTCCAGAATGAGTTAAATGTATAAAAAGTAGACAAGCTAGTAAAAATGAATCCCTAGGGCTACTATTATGGCCAAACTATTTCATCTATATCCTTGCCCACTTCTTTCATCCCATATGGTTTTGAAGCTAACTGGTGAAGTTATTAGGGATCCAGTTGTCTGGAGCATGCCAGGCCATCCTCTGTAAGGTAAAAGCAAGTTGTTGTACCGTGTACCCTCTACCACTAATAAAAAGACATAGTGCTTGGTGGGAATACTACTGTAACCCGCTTAATGGGTATTTTGGGAGGCTCCCACTTTTGAGTGAAGCCCAGAGCAGGAGAGAGTGCTACAGAGTATCCACGGTTCCCTGCCATTTGGACTATGTCACCCATCAGAATCAATGGTGCTAGAGATGTTCATGGTGGTAAGGATGCTGGGCAGAGTCTCTGATAAGCCCTAATAAAATAATTTCAGTACGATCTCTAGGATGCCAGAGCAAGGTCATGCCTTCTGCAGCAGGGAGCTATTTGCCTTTAGAAAAGCGGCTATTTGGCTATAGTAAAAACTGAGTACCTGGTAATGTGACATCAAGGGTCTATGCAACTAGAAATATCTACTAAGAGCTGGGCATTGTCAAATTCTATCAGGTCATAAGATTAAGCAGGCACATCAGCAATCCATCATATAATAGAAATGGTAGGATCAGGACTGAGCAGGTCCATACAGCTCATGTAATTTAATGAACAGTGGCTCTAACTCCATGACACCTACACCTCAGCTCTACCAACACTTCTCCTCAACTCAAACCTATGGTTTTATGGGGGTTCTCTATAACCAACTGAGAGAGGGAAGAAAATACTCAGCCCTGTCTCACAGATGCTATCAACCAAAAAACAGATTGTTTGCTGCAACATAGCCCCACTGAGGAGTGGCCCTAAAGGACAATGGTGAAGGGAAATTTTTCAATGGTCCAGGTATAAGTAGGGTACTTGGGCATTCTTTATGTATGGCAAGCAAAGTGGTTCAAGGTATGGATTTACATATACTCATGGGTTGGGGCAAACTGTTTTGTCAAGTGGTACCTGTTAACTCTCACATACGTGTACAGCCTGGAAGTACAGGGGAGTTGACCAATGGAGCCAGAACTAGTTAAAAAAAAAAAAAAGTGTCTTAATTCTCTGTGGCTCTTTAGAAGATCCCAGCAGGATTGAACTCCAATTATCCATAGAAATTAGGGTTGAGAAAAAGCTGAGGCAAGTGAAATGAGTGAGACACTTGCCTCCGGTGCAAAATTTAAGAGGGTGCCAGGAAATTCAATAATCAAGATAAATAACATTTTAACACAGTATTTTTAAAAATCAAAACCAATATGAAACCCTATGATGAACAAAGTTCCAAAATTTTAAGTAAAGATATGATCAGTTATTATTAATTTTTTCTTTGCCCTCAGGCTCTAGAGTCTTAGTATGGCACTGTTACTGATCCTAGTCACTACCAATGATCAATTCAATTACACAGTCTTGTGTTGGCCTTAACCTCTTTTCCTGTTCACTCTCCCTGGTCCTTCTTTCCTTTCCCTAGGATCACTACTATAAATAAATGATCTCCACATAAATTCTTATCTCAGTAAATCCATGAACCTATGGATTTACTAAGAAGCTTAGAACCTAAGAACCTTATCTTCAACAAAGGAGGCAAGGATATACAATGGAAAAAAGACAACCTCTTTAACAAGTGGTGCTGGGAAAACTGGTCAACCACCTGTAAAAGAATGAAACTAGAACACTTTCTAACACCATACACAAAAATAAACTCAAAATGGATTAAAGATCTAAATGTAAGACCAGAAACTATAAAACTCCTAGAGGAGAACATAGGCAAAACACTCTCTGACATAAATCACAGCAGGATCCTCTATGACCCACCTCCCAGAATATTGGAAATAAAAGCAAAAATAAACAAATGGGACCTAATGAAACTTAAAAGCTTTTGCACAACAAAGGAAACTATAATCAGGGTGAAAAGACAGCCCTCAGATTAGGAGAAAATAATAGCAAACGAAGCAACAGACAAAGGATTAATCTCAAATATATACAAGCAACTCCTGCAGCTCAATTCCAGAAAAATAAATGACCCAATCAAAAAATGGGCCAAAGAACTAAACAGACATTTCTCCAAAGAAGACATACAGATGGCTAACAAACACATGAAAAGATGCTCAACATCACTCATTATCAGAGAAATGCAAATCAAAACCACAATGAGGTACCATTACATGCCAGTCAGGATGGCTACTATCCAAAAGTCTACAAGCAATAAATGCTGGAGAGGGTGTGGAGAAAAGGGAACCCTCTTACACGGTTGGTGGGAATGCAAACTAGTACAGCTGCTATGGAGAACAGTGTGGAGATTTCTTAAAAAACTGGAAATAGAACTGCCATATGACACAGCAATCCCACTTCTGGGCATACACACCGAGGAAACCAGATCTGAAAGAGACACGTGCACCCCAGTGTTCATCGCAGCACTGTTTATAATAGCCAGGACATGGAAGCAACCTAGATGCCCATCAGCAGACGAATGGATAAGGAAGCTGTGGTACATATACACCATGGAATATTACTCAGCCATTAAAAAGAATTCATTTGAATCAGTTCTAATGAGATGGATGAAACTGGAGCCCATTATACAGAGTGAAGTAAGCCAGAAAGATAAAGACCATTACAGTATACTAACACATATATATGGAATTTAGAAAGATGGTAATGATAACCCTATATGCGAAACAGAAAAAGAGACACAGATATACAGAACAGACTTTTGGACTCTGTGGGAGAAGGCGAAGGTGGGATGTTTCGAGAGAACAGCATCGAAACATGTATATTATCTATGGCGAAACAGATCACCAGCCCAGGTTGGATGCATGAGACAAGTGCTCGGGCCTGGTGCACTGGGAAAACCCAGAGGGATTGGGTAGAGAGGGAGGTGGGAGGGGGGCCCAGGATGGGGAATACATGTAAATCCATGGCTGATTCATGTCAATGTATGACAAAAACCACTGCAATGTTGTAAAGTAATTAGCCTCCAACTAATAAAAATAAATGAAAAACAAAATTCTTATCTCAGGCTTTGATTTTTATCGGGGGTGAAGGGAGGATGAAATCTAAGCTAAGTAAGACAATGACCGCAAGAAATACTGTTCAAAGAAGGATACTTTTGAAAGGAAAGGAAAACACTTAATAAAACAGTGCTGTCCTGGCACATCCAGACATAAGGTCTTATTACACATAAGGAAACAGGTTCCAAGCAGATAGAAAGCCAGCCAAGACTGGAGGTTATAAAAAATGGAGCAGAAATGCCTCCTACCTCTTAATCAGGGCCTGGACGCAAATGCATTTGTACAAAATCTCCAAGAGGTGGGCCCTTCAGCCTGTCAATCCCTTCCACCTCAAGAACCCCAGGACTCCCATTGCAGTCCCAGACCCGCTCACACAACAGCAGAGGGGCCTTAGACCTGGACACTAGCCGACTGGTGCCTGCTCTGGCTACCCTGCCAAATCTGGGCGACAAACTGAACCTTTTCCTCCTCCCTTCCTGCCTCTCTCTGTTCCCCGACTGGGGGCGGTCCCTTCTGCAAACCAGAGGCCTCTAGTCCAAGAAGCCTCTGGCAGCCATCCTCGACGAAGAGCCCCGGGAAATCAAAATCAGAGCCCAAGAGTGGTGACAGCTGGGTCTCCATTACCGTGCTCTCACAAAGGGTCAAGCTCCGCGTAGAATCTTCTCCAGAGGCCCCAACAGGATCCCGGGACCACCCGGTAGTCCCTGCTCCCCACCTCCCCTCAGTCCGAGCCTGTCTCTGACGAAGTGTGCCCTCGATCATCTCTTCGGGGCGCTGGGCCTGTTTCCCCCTATTCAAGGTTAGGCTCCGGGTTGTTCGGAAGCCGCCGGCAGGTGACTGGATCCGGCAGCCTAGGACTGGGGGTTGGGAGCTCCGAGTTGGCGGGCGCGGGCGCGCTCCTGTCACCCCTGCGCCCGCAAAGGGTTCCCGGGAGCACCGGCTCCACGGACTCGCCCGTCCGCGCCCGGCCCGAGGCTCCCTGAGCTCAGACCCCGAGTCGGAAGCGGCAGCGGAGAGATCCCAGCCCCGGACGAGGCCTGAGGCGACGGCGACAGGGAGGTCCGACCTCTCAGAGTCCTTGCTCTGCGGCCTCGACTCTGCCCTTAAGCTCGACTCTGCCCTTAACACGCTGCCCAACCCGGCAGCCCGGGGCTGGGCGCTCAGCACTTAGGGGCGCCCGGGCGCGCCGGGGCAAGGTAGGGGCGGCAATGGAACTAGTCCTCTTTTTCCTACGCCCGCGGCCAGCTGACCTCCTAGCCCTCGCCGGGTCGCCGCGGGCGGGGGAGGGAGCACCGGCGGAGTCGCCCGGGAGCTCCACCCCACCCCGTCCCGCCCCGCCCCGGCTGGGATGGGGGTGTGGTCCCGAGTTTCTGTTTCCAGAAAGTGGATCCAGCTTTGCGTCCAGCTCCCAGCAACCTTCTAACGCCCACAGCCCGCTTCCCGGGAAAGGTCCCGTCCGCGTGCGCCGCCTTCCCTCAGCTTGCAGGGTCCGCGAGAACGTTTTGACGCCCACGCCCTGGACCGCGCGGCGCTGTCCGGGGAACGCGCTCTCATCACCCCACGTTGCCAGCTGCAGGGCGGCGCAGAGCATGCGGGACTACGATGAAGTGACCGCCTTCCTGGGCAAGTGGGGGCCCTTCCAGCGCCTCATCTTCTTCCTACTCAGCGCCAGCATCATCCCTAACGGCTTCAACGGTATGTCAGTCGTGTTTCTGGCAGGGACCCCGGAACATCGCTGCCGGGTGCCGGACACGGCGAACCTGAGCAGCGCGTGGCGCAACCACAGTGTCCCGGTGCGGCTGCAGGACGGCCGCGAGGTGCTTCAGAGCTGCCGCCGCTACCGACTCGCTACGATCGTCAACTTCTCGGCGCTCGGGCTGGAGCCGGGGCGCGATGTGGACCTGGAGCAGCTGGAGCAGGAGGGCTGCCTGGATGGCTGGGAGTTCAGCCAGGACATCTACCTGTCCACCATCGTCACCGAGGTGGGTGTGTGAGCGACCCTTCATCTGCATCAGTCCCTCTGAAGACCCCCTAGCCGTGCCTGGCTCAGCGTCCCCAGTTCCTCATCAGACCTGCCTAGCAGTCATCTGGGTTATACTTGTAACACAGGTGTGCGGCACAAGAGGGCAGAACTCGCTTAGGATAATTCCTGGTCAGTTTGTCTAGTAGGGAGGGCATGAAGAACTGAGAAGGGAGGTAGCTGTCAACTGCCTTTTTCTCCGGCAGTTTCACAAGAGGAAGTTGTTTCCCAAGAGCCTAGATGCTGTCAACCCCAGGCTCCCCAGAAGCACAGACTGAGTCAAATTCCTGCCGCAGGCATGAGGAGGGGTGTGGGGATGCTGCTGAGACCATGTGCAGACACAAAGTAGAGTCTTATTGCTGAGCAGGGCATGGGCAGGTCTGGTCTGTTCCCTGGCCACAGACTTCTGGAAGCATCAGGGGCTCTCCTGCTCTGCTATACAACTATAGTAAGGCTTGGGTCCTGTCCTGAGGCTCTAATTTCTCCACAAAGGAGCAGGAGGCCTCCTGATACTGGTGAACAGGGAACTAGAGGAGGCATAACCCTGGTCCCAAGGCACTCATGAAAGGACAGATTCACAGAGACAGTATAAGCACAGAGCTCACAGGCATCTCTGGCTTTGATCCCATAACTGGGGCTCCTTAGTGCTTACCTGCCTTCTGTGCATAGTCTGATCCTGAGACATCTAAAAGTAGGGGTCAGCTCATCCCAGTTCCTGGAAGTGCGGTCAGCATCTGGGCTAGAGCTGGCCCTACTAACTGCAGTCCTCCTTGACAGTTGGGTTCACCTAGCTCTTTCCCCATCCTTAATAGTTCTGTTCACCTCAGGATGTGAGGGGTGGGTAGGTAGCGGCTGGTTTACAAGTCCATGGCTATCCCTGTTACACCCAGCCCAAGTGGGCCTGTGGGAAAATACATCGTTCCCCATCTGAGGATGCACAACATTACACACTCACACACAACCAGATTTGCCTTTTTCAGCAGCTTTTCCCTTACTTGCTTTCTTTTTTGGTACTAGGAGTAAAATAAAAAGCAAAGGAACACTAGTCATTGGGAGGAAGGAGGGGAGAAGCATGAAAGTGAGGAGGGTGGGTGGTTCTCCCTAGAGAGTGGTGGGACAAAGAGTTCTGGAGTCAGATGGGTGGACTGGTTCTGGCCCCACCCATAAGCACTAGCCTTCAAATATTTGCATATTCATGTTCATGGCAGTATTAGTCACAAAGAGTAAAAGCAACTCAAATACCCAGCAACAGATGAATGGATAAATAAAATGTGGTGTATACACACAATGGAATAGTATTCAGCCTTAAAAGAGGAAGGAAATTCTGACACATGCTACAACATGAATGAACCTTGAAGATATTATGCCAAATGAAATAAGCTAGTCACGGAAAAAGACAGAAACTGATTTCACTTATATGCCATATGAAGAGTAATCAAACTCATGGGAACAGAAAGTAGAATGGTAGTTGCCAAGGGCTGGGAGGGCAGGGAAATGGGGTGTTATTTAATAGATATAGAGCTTCATTTTGCAAGATGAAAAGAATTCTGGAAATTGATTGCACAATAATGTGAATATATTTAACACTACTGAACTGTACACTTAAAAATTGTTAAGATGCTACGTTTTATGTTGTGTGAATTTTATTAGAGTTGTTAAAAATGAGGATCATAAGAATGCCCAGCTTATCTGAGTTGTTGAGAGGATTCAGTGAGATCATGTGCTATGCAACATCCCATAGCGCCAACAAATGGGCATCACGGGTGGGTGGATGAGGAGCAGTAAGAGCAGGACCTCGTCATCTCTGTCTGGGCATCATGGGTATTTGGGGCCATGTTCTAAGGGCCATGTTTCAGCCAGTACAATGGGTGATGAGACTTGCGAAAGGCAGAGCCCCTTTCCTAGAGTGGAATTCTAGGGCCAGAGAATAGGACACAGGTCTGAATCCACTGCCAGGGGAGAAATGCCCTCATCTCCCTGACAAGAGCAAGTTGGGGACCCTGAGCAAGTTCTCTGCACCCCTGTGGCCCCACACTGGCAGGGGGATCATCCTCAGATGGTCTCTGCTTTATACCTCTGCATGGGATCTCCTGATGGGCATACCCTCTGGGACAGAGAAGCCCATCTGAACTGACCCCCAACCCCTTCACAGGGAAGACAGGTCAGTCAGGGAACAAAGGAGGGCATGTTTTGCCATGCAAGTACTTTCCAGGGGATACCAGGAGGCGGGAACCTGGTATCTGAGTTGGGACCTGTGTGAGTGCATCTGTCTGGGCATTTCCCAGGTAATTTCCTTCCTCAAGGACTATTTGTGAAATGCAATTTATCTGTCCTGTTTAGAGCTAAGAATCACTTTAAAAAACAAAGCTTTATTTTGAAATAATTTCATTTAGAGCAAAGTTGTGAAAATAGTACAGAGAATGTGCTGATCTCCAGGGGGCCTAGATTCAGGAGCAGGGCCACTGGACAAACCTTAGGGGTGAGTCTGGCTCCTGGCCAGAGTCTAGGCATGGGCTGGCCTTTGCCTCAAACATGTCTTCTTCTCCCATGGAACATCATTAGGTAGATTTGACCCTCTTCAGTCCATGGGCTGAGAAAACTAGGCAGTCATCTCTGAGCCAGGGCCCATACTCCAGAGGCCCTGGGTGGGGGAGGAGCGGGGGCTTGTTTGGTAAAGAGCAGCTTTCTGTGGCAGACCACCAGTGACCTGAGGCAGGGCTGCTGCTCCACCATATCAGTTGCTATCCTTTCCTTCAGCTGGGGGCATCCTCTAGGAACCCATGGGTGGAACTGCAGGCAGCTATGCCCTTAACCATGATAGAATGGCCAACAAAGGACCTGGGCCTCTGGAGGCACTAGCCTTGTGCTATCTTTCTTGGGACCTGGAATTAAGGCCTAGACAGAATAGGACACACTGATTCCCCACCCACAGCTCAAAGGTATAAAATAGGAACAGAGGGGCCTTATCCTTTGCTAACAGGGTGCTTATGTGAGGCACTAGGAGTGGTGAAAGAGGGAATGATGAGACCAGAATGAGCCTAGCATCTGACAACTACTTGGGACTCCATATGGCAACTCAAAGGGATGTACCTCCTTTGGGGCCTCTGCCAAAGCTGAAGAGTTTAAGCAAGAAGTAGGTTTAGGCTGTTTTCTTTCCATCAGACTTATAGGCTGCCCTGGAATACTGCTGGCTAGTGTGAGACTGGCAGCTTGGCTGTCGGGACAGCCTGAATATCAGACCTGCCCTCTGGCAGATTCCAAAGGGGATAAAGTGGGAGCCTCAGCCTCCGGCCAACACCAACAGACTTTTATTTCCAGGCAGTGCTGCAGAAAGAGAACAAATAGAGGAGACTGAGGGGCTTTTCCTAGCTGTGGCCTGAATTTGCTTCCCTGTTTATCAGCTGCCTCGTGCCAAACAGTTTGTCTGTTGCCTCTAAGTTCTGTTCCTCTGACAAAGGCCACCAGGATCTCAGAATGTGCCTTCGTCCAGAGGCTGCTTCACCCAAGCCTCCTGCCAAGTTTCTGGATAAAGATTTTGTCCATCTCTCCTGGTGGGCAGCAGACCCCTCACACTTTGTCCAAGAGATAGGGTGGTGTGCTGACAAAAACAAGGCTTGGCAGAGCTGGTCAGAGGAGCTGTAGATGCCTTGGGCCTGTGAAGGGACTGTAATTTCTTCTTTGTGACAGGCTGTGTGTGCATGCTAAGTTACTTAGTCGTGTCTGACTCTTTGTGACCCTATGGACTGTAGCCTGCCAGGCTCCTCTGTCCATGGGATTCTCCAAGCAAAAATACTGAAGTGGGTTGCCCTGCCCTCCTCCAGGGGATCTTCCTGACCCAGGGATTGAACCCATGTCTCTTATGTCTCCTGCATTGGCAGGTGGGTTCTTCCAGGCTAATGCAGGCCTGCCTTGTTATCTGAAGCCTTGGTATAGTTTTAAGCATGTCTCTAGAGCCCAAAAAAATAAAAATAAAAAGGCAGGGATCTCCATTTGAAGTAGAAAGAATAGAGCCTCTGGGGAATGGCTCAGTTGACTCACATATCCCAACAATGGACACAGACAGTCCAAGGCTAGAGGCTCCTGCTCTGTGTTTACAGGACTGGAAACAGAACTGAGTGCCCCTTCTTCCTCCCTCAGGCCCCTCCATTCCCATCCCTACCATCCCACTTAAACTCCCTGGGTCTTTTGCTTTGGCTCCACCTCTGATGACCACAGAACTCTTCACCAGTGCCTCTCCACCTATGGGTGCTTTTTCTTTACCTCTAATATAAGAAAAGAAAGATATTGAGGTTTTTAAGATTTAGCCTCCCATCTTCTGAGCTCCAAGTGCAGAGGCTTAATTCCTGGTGAGTGCAACCAGGAGACTGGGGGATCCCATCCTCCACTCAGTCCATACTCATGTAGTGGCACCTGTACTCTAGTTTCCACAGGCTGACAATATGAGGGCCCTGGATGCCCTTATCCCAGTTTGTTGTAGAGTGGAGATTCCATGCCAAGAGAGGCAAACCAAAAAGGATGCTACCACCTCCAACCAGTGTCTAACTCATAAGGCAGGGGGTGCCATTCTGAGGGCACTTTCCCTTACCTCAGCCTGGAGCAGGGGCTCAGCTATTTTCCCCCAGGGGAAGAAGTAGTCCATAACAACAGAGAGCTCTGGAGCTGTCCCCACAGGAAATAGCTTCATTTCACTCAGGATGTACAGAAGTTGAAGCCTGAGAGTGCTCTTTAAAACAACAGAAATTGTGGTGATTAACAATTATGAGGAGACTAGTAGCTCCATTAGAGCAACAAGCTAACCCATAGGGCAACTAGATTACTGGAGAGAACCAGAAAAAGAGACAGCTCAGAGCAACACTCCTGGAGTCAGAACAACCCTCAAAGACTTGCCTCAAAACTGCTCTTTCAAAGGGGCTTGAATTTAATTGAACTAGTCTGTGGCATGTTTTGTGCACAAAAAAGAAT